AAACCCAAGAAAAAGACTACAAAATGTAGAGCTGGGCCTTTCACACTAGGAATTCATGTCAGTCCCGAGGACAACATGTTAGTGGACTATGTATTCCGTACCGGCAAAGAGGGAGGGTAATTATTTCATAATCTTTTTCAATTTATTAAGTACTTTTGTCTCTGTGACTCTAACTTGAATTATTGCTTTGTGCATTAGTGATGAGAAGATCGCCATGAGAATTTGCACCTTTCTAACTAGGGAGGATATTTTGACCCTTGCACCTAACTCTCCACTGAGCACGTTGGTAAGTTCTGCATGTTTGGCCATTGATATACATTTATAAAGTAACCTACCAAAACCCATCTATAATTAATCTGGTGAACTACAGATTCTGGACACTGTTGTCGAAAAGTTGACATGGGAAGACAGGGACAAAATAAAAAGGGAATGCGCCTTTCTGCCCGTTACATTTGCGGTATGAAATTTATTTTGCTTGTGGCTTTGAGATTTTCATTTGACTGATCATCTTATTGGATTAGGCGAAAGCTTCTGGAAATAGAGACGACCTACGAAGCTTCGTCAGCTTAGAGCACGTGAAAACTCTATACTGTACTGACATTCGTGACTGTGAGGCGGTATGTATTTTTCATTGTGAATTTGTATATATATTACACTTAATGTTGGGTTTTTAAAATGCTCTTTATATGCTTTTTGTATAGATATTCATTCCCATATACATGGAGAACCATTTCGTGTTGTGCGTGGTAAATCTGAAGAAGCAACAGTACTGTCTTTGGGACTCTCTACCGTCATGCATGGAGAAGACAGAAATTAATCAAAAGCTGGTGGACATTGTAAGTAGAGTTTGTAGAGATCGGAATATGGTAATAGATACAATCGTACTAACATTAACTTGCGCAATTAGAGATGGCAGCCTTGGATGTATTATTTTTTGATGATGGCGCTGCCTGGTTCCATGACATTAGCTCATTTCTGGATTTTGAGTTCAACCCAACAAATGATGCTCCCCGCCAACCCAATACGTAAGTAGAATAGCAATGTTTTCATTTGTACACCATTTTTTCGAATAAGTTCACTAATATAGCTACGTTCTTTGTACAGGTGGGATTGTGGTATGTTTGTGATTAAAGTGATGAAATGTGGCCACTCCTTGAACAAAAAGACAGCAAAGTGCATGGGGAAACGGGTAAGTTGATAAAATCGACTCATTCTCCATTTATTGTGATTTCTAATTTCATTGATCAATTCATTTGTAATTTGACAGTTCAATAGTGAGGATGAACGTTTGAAGTTGGTCTTGGAACTGATCGATTGCACCCCGAATGAGAAGACTCCTTACTTGACCGCGCAAGAGAACTGGTCGCATGAATAGGCTTTACTGGATGAACTGAGGCGAATGAGATGTTTACAGATGCTTAGTTGTGTTTAAACAATTGGTTTGGTTTTTTTTGGATGATTTTCTGCATTTTGCTGGGATTATTAGTTCTTTGACGAGGATTGGAATCTCTTGTTCATTTCGTTATGTTGTTGGGGATTAGTGTTCCAAGTTATGAGGCTTTATTACTTTGCTTAGACGACTGGGTTTAAGCTGAATGATATTTCCCATGGATATTTTAATGTGATTTGATGAAACTAAAGAGTTATCTTCTCTTCTTTTCATCTCAGTTCATTTCAATTTCTTCTTTGTGTATGTTGATGGAAAAGTAAACAGTGTCCTGCTGTTATACATTATTGAGTGCAGGGGGTTGTTCTTGGGAGCTGTTTACATATGCTTAATTGACTGTGTATGTTGCTGGGAAAGCAAACTGTGTCCTGCTGTTATACATTATTGAGTGCAGGGGTTGTTCTTGGGAGCTGTTTACAGATGCTTAATTGACTGTGTATGTTGCTGGGAAAGTAAACCGTGTCCTGCTGTTATACATTATTGAGTGCAGGGGTTGTTCTTGGGAGCTGTTTACAGGTGCTTGTGTTTTTAAATAAGGATAATAGTTTAAGACCCATTCTCTATGCATTCCAGGGATAAAAGCATGAAATACACCTGTTTCGGTTGCTGAGAACATCCACAGGGATAAATCAGATTTGGTTGGTGCGAATTGAGAGGAAAACAAAAACAAATAAATAAATTTTAAAGTCTCTATGGGGGATTGAACCCGCTACCGTTCCATGTTATTAAATTTAGTCAGCATCTTAAACCACTAGGCTGGTCGCCTGCCATTCATACATAAGACTATCGTTTACAATTTTAGTAAGTTTTTTTTACCCACACTCTGCGCCGGGATGGGTCTTGTAATTTAGATAATTTAATTCAGTTTCCATTGATGTCCCACTCAGAAATCATGAATATGATCAATGAGTTATCTAACACGAAATTCTTAATCGAGCTGCTAATTTTAACACTACCCAAATGTAATGGTTGTAAAAAGAGAGAAGTTCAACTTGAATGAAATTCTGTTTTGGCCCCATGATTGTTTACTCACGCAAATGGAAGAAAATGTCAGTAAAATTTCCAAATATCAAAATTTTGTGTGATGAAAACGGAGGCAAAGTTCAATAGAAATGTTGTCGACATGCTATAATCTAATAGTCTATCACCTTATTAGAAAAAGGTGTTAAACATAACTGGTCCAACAATGCTGATGGGCTTTCATGAATCAATTTCAAAGCTTGACCAAATAAATAACTAAGAGTGCTAGATCCAATTGATCAAAGTTTGTCCAAAAGCATAATGACCAAAAGCACCACAATGGCCACATTGTCTCGATTTGACGACCTTCCCCTTCTTGTTCTTAGTCAGCCGACCACCTTTAAATCGTGTCTGTACCGGATCTTTAACATCTTTATAACGTTCAGATGCATCACCGTGATCATCTTCAGCAGGCTCTGAGGAAGCACCTTTACTAAGAGTACTCATTCCCGTCAATTTCGCACACAATGCTGAAATCTCTGCACGAGCAACTTTGAACATACTTGGAGATTCGGCAGCTAAGGATGTCAATTGTAAGTTGTGGTACTGTATAATGCCAGATCTCCATATGCGTTCTTCTTCCTCTGATGGAGTGTCATTTCTTTGAAGTTTTTCCATAGTACCTTTTGGGTCTTTTCTCCACCTCGGCAAAACCAACTCCGAAGGCAACTCTTTCACTCGCTGCTCCCGTAATACAGAAATCATGTGTGCGCAGAGCATACCGGTACTACAAAACTTGTAACAGCTGCACTCCATTTCTGATGTGGTTGGTTGATATGTAACTTCTATGACAACCTCGGAGTCTTCATACATTGTCATCTCATAGACACGGTGAGAAGATCTTTTAAAAGATCTGGTCATAATGCATCCATTAGATGCTTCGAGCTGCTCCCGAAATGTAAAAAATGCCTCCCTTGAGTAAAACTAGCACCACTTATTTCGAGAGATCTCAAACCTGTGTTTCTTAGCTCAGGAGTTCCATAGTTGGACTTGAAGTCTGCTTTAACCTCATTCTCTCTAAAATGCCGCATTGCACGATCAAAATCATTCACAAACTCCAGGAGATTATGCTGACAACTAACATACTTCCTAATGAATGAATTGACCCCTTCACAACGAGATGTCGTCCGAACGTTAGCAAAAAACTTATCTCTTAAGTATGCAGTTGCCCACTCTCGCCGTTTCTCATAAGTGTTTCCAATCCAGCTATTGTCCTCAACTGAAAACTTAGTGATCATTGACCTCCACCTCTCTTCAAACTCCTCAATCCCACAATCAGCAAACATGCAATTCTTGAACGAGAAAAGAAACTTCTTATCCTTCACATGGTCCTTTGCATTACCAAACAGATGCCATGAGCACAAACGATGGATTGCATCAGGAAAAACCTTACTAACAGCATTCGCCATTGCTTTATCTCCATCTGTGACAACGGCATTAGGCTTCTTACCGATTGCTTCCACAAAGGCTTCTAACACCTAATTATAAGATTCTTCAGTTTCATTGTTCATGAGTGCACATGCAAACACACACGTGTTGTTGTGATGATTTACACCTACAAACGAAAAATGTAATGTCAAATTAAAGTTAGCACAATAATTTTAGTAACGAATTAATTAGATTACCGAACTTTTTACAATATTGAACAAACATATGTAGATTGAAATTAAAGCATCACAATATTCCAAAAAACAAAGAAACTTGTAATTCCAATAATATACCTGAGAAGATCACTAGAGGCATATTGTACGCATTTTTCTTGTATGTAGTGTCAAACGATAACACATCACCGAAGCATCCAAAGTCTAGCCTGCTTATGCTATCCGCCCAAAATAACTTCTCCAGTCTCGAGTCATCACCAACTTTGAACTTCATAAAAAACCCATTGTCATTGTAGCTTTTACAACTCAAGTAACTCAGTGCAGCTGTAGCATCACCGTTGTTGATGTTTTCTTTTCGGCACCTATCGACATAGTTATATACGTCTTGCCTCGTATACCCCACATTAGTATACCCACCAGCTGCATTGGACACAACATTCATGATTTGACAGGGCCTCAAACCGCCAGATTTCAAACTTGATACAAGTGATGCATCTGCTTTACTCAACACACGGTGTGATCTAAGATGATGAACTTGATGGTAGGGAGCTAATTGATGATTATGCTCATTTCTAAACCGAGTAACATGCCATCTCATGTCCTTCTTCTTCACCAAACCTCGTTAGTACCCTTGGTTCTATTTTTCTGTCTGTAGTTTTCTTTAGTCTGAAACCTGCACCAGAACAAACCCACTTGCGCGACACGATTTCTTTCTTTGTATCATACCGAGTATTACTCTTTCTAATTCCAAACCCAATTGCTCTGGAAAATCTCCTATAGAAAGCTTCACCATCCTGCAAACTACCAAAAGTCATTTTGTAGACATCAGTAGCCTTCAACTTCGATAAATTTTCCCATTCTTCTTCCTCAACATGAATAGATTGTTCGGTTTCTTCTTAATCCACATCGTCAACATGAATAGATTGTTCAGTCTCTTCTTCTTCCCCATTCTCATTTGTCACAGATTGTGCGGTACCTTCTCCCTCTTCATTCACACGACCTTGTTCAACTTCTACTCCTTTTTCCATTCCTGTAAAGGTCTCCTCCACATTTGGCCCTACCCTAAGGTCATTCCTGTAAAAAATGAAATAAAAATGGCTATTAAAGTTAGCCGATCTGTTGATAATATAAAATCACATTTACGGATAACTAACCTGTCCCTTGTCGGTGCAGTACTGCTGGTGGGTTCCATCTTCCACTTTCAACTTGCTTTGTTTTTTCCTCAAAAGCCAATATGGTTTCAATGATTGCTTTGTAGGTAAGAGAAAAGCTACATAAAAACCATGCACAAGTAAAGACAGAATCTTTATGTCTTATAGGTAGGAAAAACAACAGAAAAGGAAGACATCCGGTCTAAGAGAACTCTGGCTTCAAAACCATCATAAATCATTGCTACCAGGTCACAAATTAAAGTGGCTCCAGTCTTTTGAGATAGATATTTCCATATTAAATTCAAGCAAACAAGCAGGTCTAACTAAATAAACGAACAGCACAAAGAAAAAACTGGAACACTGGGTTTGTCTACAAGACAAACCAACGAGCGGAATACACAAATACAATGCATCATTTCGGAGGTCCAATTTCACAGCTTTGCCAATGTGAAAGGCAAAACCTATATGAGAATGGCCCTATTTTACAGCCAAAAACAAAATAATTTATGTGCAATAAGCAACTTCAATACTTCATAATTCCAAAAATAAACGAAAAGAGAGAAACACGAACGAATCACAAAGCCAACGAGGACAATGCTTACTCCTTTGAGACTGAAAATACCCTAAAACAGACAGAGGAAGAGACAGTACCATTGTCCATACATCAACAAAGCCCCATGCTCAAATCACTAAATCATAGGGAAACCAAGAAAACAATTCAGGAGCAGTTCACACACACCGGAAGGAAAAACTGAAGGTGCGTTTCTTACCTTTGACGACTCCCGATCCCGGATACGTTAAGAAGCAACAAGTCGGAACTGAATTGGAATGCCAGGTGAGATTCAATCCCAATTCTACGTGGAAGGCAAACACACTCGATCAATCGCGGAAGTGGTGATGTCGGCGAATGGGTCATTCCAGTTATCGTCGGAACCAACTTTAGTTTATCGCAGCAACGGAATTGAGGATAGGAGATTTATGACTTGGTTTTCATTAAGTTTTACGTATTATACAAAGCAAAAACGATGCGTTTGAAACCTTCTCCTTTGTTCCATAAAAAAAAAACCTTCTCCTTTGCACCAACTGATTACTACCCTGTTCCCGACAAAGCCGCGCAGGGGAATAACTCCACCACAGCCGAACGTTGGCTTGCACTCCGACTCCAGCTTCTGTACAGTTGGTACATGTTGGTTCCCGGGAAAGCCCAATAAAACAAACATGCCGAGCTTCTCGGAGTCACTGAGTCGGAGTCGGACGGAGATTGAGAATCGCCGGGGAAACAAATACTCGATCGAACCTTGCTCTGTTCCGTTCCAGGTCGATTTTGCTTTACGGAGAGTCTGGCACCTCTCACCTTGCTCCGAATCCAGCTCCCAACATATCCCCAACTTCTCCCTCCATCGGTACCACCCCATATGCTGCTTTCCCCCAACTCCCACCAACGGCGGCACCCCTTTCGTTCCAATCCCCATTAGTCGCCTCCAGGCCGTTCAACATCCTTCGCTCGTCGATCCGGTCCGTGGCCTGCAACCCCTACAAAATAAAAACAAAGGATTAATTCAATTCAATAAACATGACCTTCCTCCCTTGATCGGTGGCTTCACTAGATTTGATTAGGAGAAGGAGGGATTTCGACCTCCCATTTCCAGATTCTGCCTCTTGAATCCCCTTCCTCGACTATCAACCTTGAGCTCTTCTCCCCAAACTTCGATACAAACGACAGCTGGGTTTGTTGTCTCCACCCAGAATCTAGATCTGTGCCGTTGGTTTTTTCCTCCTCGAAAGATGCTCTGTTGCTCGCTGGTGGCCGATTGTTTGATTGAAGGGGCAGGTTGGAGAAACGCTGGATTGGATTGAAGGGGAGTCAGGGTCGGATATGGGGTCAAGGTCGGAGATGGATCTTCCTTTCATGATCACAACTCTTCCCCCACCACCCTCGCCAGCTCGCCCGTCTCCGGGCCTCTTTTTGTGGCTAATCCTTCTGGCAACTTCCCTGTCGGATTCAACTGAGTCTTCGTCGCCGTTCCTCCTTGCATGCCGCCAATTCCATGTTTCCCGGCGAATTGATGAAGCAAGAATCGGAGTTGAGATTGGAATTGGAGAATCAGAAGGAGAATTAGAGGTTAAGAAGGAGATATTGAGAAGAAGAAAGGGAACAAGAACAGGGAGCAGAGGAAGGAGGAAGAACAAGTACAGAGGAAGGAAGGAGTAATTTATTTTCTGTTCTCTCTTTTGCTGTGAGGGATTAAATTAAGTGGTCTCTGTTGGGTGAGAGGAACAAGAGGGTTCGGGTAAGAGGAGAGAATAATCGGGGAAGAAGACAGTTAAAGTCAGGGGCCTAGTTGCAATTACAATTAAGTATAAATTGTTTTAATAAATATAATATAGTTGATTAATGAATAATTAAATCTAAATAAATCAAATTATTGGAACCGTTAGATGTGTTCAACGGTTGAGATTAAATAAAAAAGTGGGTGCGTTCAGTGCACCAAAAAATGGGTGCACCGAAGTGGCCTATATATATATATGTAAATACTGTTTACGGTTCGCTAAGATTACTCTTTGGTTAGGCTTATGTTCATCTGGATTCCTATTTAACGCCCTAACTTTTTGAAAATTTCGCCCTAAATTAACCAAACAGACAATACTACCCCCAATTTCTAGAACGATCGCCCCAATCATCACCCCAACCCCTAGCGCCCCAACTGCTCATCGCCCCTCCAACGCCCTCTGCTCGTCGCCGGCGAAAGACTCTTCACCCACGCCCCCAATCCATCGCCCTAATCACCAGATTGGCTCTGCTCGTTGCTCGGTCCACGCCCTTTGCTCGTCGCCGCGCAAGATTCCTCCCTCTGCTCGTCGCCTCCAATCCATGCCCCTAAATCCCTCTGCTCGTCGCCGGTGGAATTCTCCTCCGCTGCTACTCCGCTCAAGGACGAAGAAGAAATAGAGGCGACGGCCGGGTCGGACCGAGGTGTTATTTCTTCCTCATCACCATCGCTCGGCAGCAGCAGCATAGATGATGGAACCCGATTGGCGCATCGAGCAGCCATAGGGGCGACGACGACGGGACGGACCGAGAATCAGAGCAGGCGCGCGACCGCCAAAGCAGAACAATGGATCTTTCTCATCTTCTTCGTCCTTGAGTGGGACAGAAGGGGAGGTGGAGAAGAGAACTTCCACCGGTGGGAATTGGGCCGGATGGGATTAGGGCGATGACGGCGTTGACAAGGCGGACCGAGCAGCGCAGCGGAAGGCAGTTGCGGTGGCGACGGCGACTTCCAGTTGCGGTGGCGACGATGACTCCCAGTCGAACAGCGGTGACGATGCAGAATTCTAGGGCGAAGATTTGTTCGGGATTGGGAATAAAAGAGTGTGGCAAAAACGTCAAGTTGCAAAATTAGGGCGACAAATTTTAAAAATATAGGGCGTTAATTAGTACTCCCCATGTTCATTGGTATATATAATTGCCTCGGTTGTTTGACTATGGGTTGTGATAATTGTTGTTGGCCTTGGAGATTCTAAATCCAATTTGCAGTTTCTTTTTTAGTTTTGCCTCGACAAATATAGCTATTGTGTTTTATTTGAATCTGTGCTAAATTTTGTGGTTGCTGACCTGTCAGAGGGAGATTAACATTATACGAATAAAATAAAAAAATTAATGTCTCCTTACCAAATTAAGGAATCACCATCCAATAGATTGTTTTCTTTTCATATTCTCTATGGGTGTGTTTTTTCTTTGCTTTATCTCAGTGGGATTTTCCCCTCTTCTCTCCTGGAGGTGTAGTGCTCTTTAGGGGTGGGAAAACGGTTGCGGTTTTGCGGTTAAACCGCAACCGCACCGAATAAGAGCGGTTTGTGGTTAACCGCAAACCGTTTAAAAGGGTCTTTATTCGGTAACAGTTAGTGAAATTGTCTCTTTTGCGGTTTGTGGACTAACCGCACACCGCACCGAATAAGTAACTCCACCGAATAACTAACCGCGTAAGAGTATACCCAACCCAAGCCCAACCCATCCAACAATCCAAAATGAATTTTCCAAGTGCATTTTCCGTATTAGAACTTAATGTGGATGGTTTCTTTTGGATGTTTAGAACTTAATTCTGTTTCTGACTTTTTCAGGTGCATTTTCCTTGTTTTAGTGTTAATTTATCAAGTGCATGTTGCTGGATTTTACAAGTTAATTCGGTTTTTGTTGCGGTTTTATTTCATTTCGCGGTTTTTTACACCGTTTAACTCTTAATCGCGGTGTGCGGTTTAAAGTGCAGTTAACCGCAATTAACCGCTAATCGTGATTTGCGGTTAGTGGTTAACCGCAAACCGTTTGCATTGCGGTAACGGTGGGTGGTTTTCCCCTTGTGCGGTGGCGGTTAACCGCGCTTATTCGGTGCAGTTAACCGCAACCGCACCGTTTCCCACCCCTAGTGCTCTTTATGGAGTTTTCTTGAATATATATGGATTAGGATTTTTGGAGACTTCATGGTTATTGGTACAACGAGACGAAATCCATTGTTTTACTTTTATGGAATTAATTTCTATATTGGTTTGTGGTAGTTCTTTACTTCGGTCTCCCAAGTGTAAAGAGTAGAGGTGGTATTCTGGTAGATTACTAAAGTAGTGTGCTAATAATTTGTGGGTATAGTGGTTTTCACATGATTCACTGTTCGAGTTTTCCTTCTTTGTAAGCCTACTATAATGTGTTACTAAATTGAGAAATTTTACAATGCTATATAGTTTTGGTGTTATAGGTTTTTGTCTTTATGATACAACTTAAAATTGTACATTTATGTTATAGTACAACTTCAGATTGTAGCTATATTTTTTGTACAAATTCTTTTATGGTACAACTTGAACTTATACCTTTATGTGATGGTACAACTTCAAGTTGTAAAGTTGTACCATAACATAATGGTACAAATTGCTTTATGGTACAACCTAAACTTATACATTTAATGTTATTGTACGATACAACTTAAAATTGTACATTTATGTTATAGTACAACTTCAGATTGTAGCTATATTTTTTGTACAAATTCTTTTATGGTACAACTTGAACTTATACCTTTATGTGATGGTACAACTTCAAGTTGTAAAGTTGTACCATAACATAATGGTACAAATTGCTTTATGGTACAACCTAAACTTATACATTTAATGTTATTGTACAACTTTGAGTTGTACATTAAAGCATCAATGCTATATAGCATGGTAGAAGTGCTCTACTAAATTACATCATGAGTAATTGTTTGGCTTTTTTATGTGACTAACAACTATTGGTTCTTAAATCGTTCATTGACATGATTGAATGAACTATGCGAAGCTCGGTAGCAATGAAATTTGGTTTCAATTAGAATTGGAAGACAAGAGTGGTTATTGGAAGCTCATTGATTCTTTTACGCTCTGTTTGGCAACAAGGGGGTGCAAATTGCAGGAGGGTGCAAGTTGAGGGGCAAATTGCTGGGGGTGTAAGTGGAGGGGTAAATTGTTGTTTGGATGAAAAAGTAGGGGTGCAAATAAAGTGCAAAGTAAGTAATTATATTATTTTAAAATATATTTTAAAATTATAAAATAGATTTTAAAATGATAAATATTATCATAAAATAATAAAATAAATATTACTATATAATAATAAATATACTTTACTAAAAATAGTTATTATATAATAATGCTCAAATAATAATTAATTATAACAATTGTAATAATCATTGATCGAGCGATCTCAAAACTCGAAGCTCAACTCCTAACTGGTCATCCTATATAGGGTTTTCGTGTCTAGTTTAATCTTAAATTGTCAAACTTAGTCAAACACGTTCGAATTTGTAAGTTTTAACTATTTAGTCAAATAAAATGAGTTAACCAAACAATTTCTCTCTATCTTTTCCACAAACACCTTGTATATCTAATTTTCAATGCAAATTCGATTCAACCAAGAGATCTAGATTTGACTTGACGAACATTTATAAACTTGTTTCAAGAGTCAAATGGTCAACCCCGAATAATGTTTACATTAATGATATTTATAAAAAGAAGAAATTGATAATATTAATTATTATATAATTATATATAACACAATTAGAAAAACAAAATTCCATAATTCCCCCCTCCCCCTCTCTTCCTTCCTTCCTTTGCACCCCAATTCGAGGGGTAAGCCGAAACAGTAAATTTGCACTCTCGTTTTGCACCCCCCTACTGTTCCAAATTAACCAAACAAGTGCAAATGTGTTGGAAACTGTGTTTACCCCTCACATTTGCACCCTCCTCTCATTTACCCCTCTTTCCAAATAGAGTGTTAGGATTGTTTCTAGGTTTAATTTGCACAATACTTCATTTTAATCATTGTTGTAGTTAATTTCAATTTGTCATACCACAAGTAGTGATGGATACAGGAGATAAGCTTGGAGAAATCGGCCAATCTATATTTTGATTCTGATGTCATACTATTAATTGTGCTTAGTCTAGAGACATGATTGATTTCACTACACGATAGATATAAGTGGAGCAAATATGGAACAAGTCTGCCGCTACTATCAAAGTTAGTTTTCAGACTCGTACAACTCTATGGCATCATATGACAAGCTTAGTCTGACAAAGTGTCACGCATAGCAATCATCAACGACCAGAACGTACAAAATGCATATAGTGTAAAATAAAGTTTCTAAGATTTAAATAATATCAAATAACCCAAATAGGTAAATGTAATGAATATAATGAATAACCATATACTATTCCATATCAAAGTTAAAAAATGGTGCCTTTGATCAATTTGCTAAGCCCAATTTTACACAAAAGAAATTTTTCAAAATATTTTTTATCATGCGTGGCAAAGCGCGGTTTATAGTTAGTATATACTTAATTTGTCTAGTCTTTTAACTTTTAATAGCAAAATCAAATAGAGCAAGCGATTGAAACTTACGACTTATTTGACATACTAGGGGCCTGGATTATGGTTGATGCTCGACCGCAACGGGGCTAACATGACTGTGAAGGGGTGCAGATCACAAATTCAATTGGTAGGGGCAAATATGTTGGCTAGTGA